AAACAAAAATGTTATGCACAAGGTGCTCATCAGTGTTATTTAGAACAGAAAAGTAGAAACCCAAGTTTCTGTCTTGCCAAACTAATAAACGATCATTTGTAGCCATTAAAGTTGTATCTTCAAGTTTGTAACCTAGAAAGTTAGGCCCATCAGGTCCCCCTCCCTGGAACCCAAACCTCCAGCCAAAGGACACTAGCTGAGGGAAGCTGAGCTGTGGCCCTTCCTGGAGGGACCAAGCAAGCCGGCCCCCTGCTGTAACCCTGCTCCCAGGCCTGATGCTGTCTCAAATCCCAGGATTCCCACACTGGCCTCCCAGCTGCACTGTCAATTCTGAGTCTCCATAGGATCCCACTGGACTCCTCTTGCCTCATTTAGCTGGAGACGGTCTCTGTGGTTGTGCCCAAGGACCCGGCACACCTCACTAACCCATTAGGTGGCACACTCATGCTGCAGACGAGGACATGGCTCAGAACACCTCTTGTTAAGCAACCTGGCCAAGGCCACACAGCTGGAAAGTGACTGGAACCTGAGCTTTGCCATTTCGTATGGTTGGCCAAGTCCTATTGGGCTACAAAATAGAGCTAAGTTTTCAAGGAGGCACTCAGCTCCGGTGAGGTTCTCCCTTTCACGCCCTGTAGGAGCTAAGCCAACTTTAAAGATGATCACGGTCAGAAATTTCTTTAGAAATCACAACCACCCAAAATATCAAGGTCTGACGAGACTCGCTCACCCACGAGGTTAAGGGAGTGACTGCACCTACTTCATGCCCCACCTGCCTGTCTTCTTGCATCGGACGATGCTTTGGCCAAAGTAATCAGTACAAAGTAATCAGAGAGAAATATCATTTAAGCAAGACCAGATAGTTTTGCATTATTTACCTTGTCTGCAACATATTCTGCAAGGAAAGAACAAAAAGCTTCAGAGAAAATGGGGAGGGGAAAAGGTACTAGAATGAAATCCGAAGAGGTGAGGGCGAGGCAATCCTCTACTTTCTCCAAGTGTGTTCTCCCTGCCTCCATTTTCATCAAAAGGTCTGCCTTCCAGACATGGTGTCTGCAAGGCCCTGGAGGGCCGTCGGTCCCAGCGAGAGCACATCACAGTAACCGACCAAGGACCAACGTCCAGGATGAACGGGCAGGTATTAGTATCCTCAGGTCCTTAAAGAGCTTGATGGCTTTCCCCCATCATCCAGGTGACACAAGGACGGGAGGTACAGGAAAGCGTGAGGTGGTCTGTGCAGCCACGTCCTTTGAATCCCTTGTGACAGGCGGAGGCCCTTGAAGGGAAGCACGACCCGTCACTGGGCAGGGCAGTATCGGTCGCCACTGTGGATGAACATGAGAAAGGACGCTCGCTCACATATTACAAACTCCGAAACGTACAGTAGGCAGAGTAGTTCTTATCTTAGCACCAGAGCTGCCGCATTCTTCACACCGTTAGTCAGGTTTTACTGTGTGATAGACACAAATAAAGACTACGCCATTTCGTTAGAGTACACGCAAATGAAAAGTAATCTGCGAGGCTTGGAAAAGCTCACGTCAGAACCAACCAAAAAATCATTTCCTGCTTTAAGACTTCCTCACACATGCCTGCTACGCAAGGAAAATGAACCATGCTTTCAGGGCGATCAGTTCGAAATTAAGCCAGCATCTTGAGGAAGAGTCTGCTTGTCACACTCACACACATGTCCAGTGTTTGACACAGAGCTGGACATGCTGCAGGCTTTTCTGGGAAGGAAACATTCTTAAAACAGGATATATAGGGCGTTGAGGGTAAGCACCCTATGGAACACTTATGGCACATGTGGTCTTGAAATTGAGTTGAAATTCACGTTAGCTAAATGCTATTGTGGAGACTACAAAGATAAAAATCTACGTACAACACCTTTTGGGTTAGACGGCTCACCCCATGATGGAGACCTACATTAAGCTATTAATTTTCCCAGGAATAAATGAAGAATTTGACAAATCCTTTATTAAAACATTAGCACAGCCAAAAACAATCTGAAACTGCTCACACCCAATAGCTACTGAAGGGCAATAAAACAAAATATGCCTAACAAGATCATCTGACCACACTTCACGTGCCAGAGCCGCTCCGCTGCTGGGCTGGGCCGGCTGCGTACACGGCGAGGGGCTCATCGGCTTCAATGCCAAGGTCTCAGCTAGATGGGAGGCCAGGCATGTTTTTAACCAAACTTCTTCCAAATTCATGTTTGTGCAGCTTCTAGAACTCCAAAGAGCTTCACAAATATCCTGAGTAGAATTTAAAGTGTAACTTGCTTTTCAAACTCTATAGCTTCAGCTTGCTATTGTATTTCTGTGTAATCTGAAAATAAAAACTATAACTTGCAAATACACACAAAATAGTTCAATTATACATTAACCCTCTTTTGAGTCTTCTCTCAGGATACTGTTCTCTGTCCACTTATTCTGTGAAAATTATACATTACTTCTCAGCTCTAATAATTTGGGTTTTTTTACTTTGAAGTTGGACAAAAAAATTCAGTGCAGCATATTTAATACTATTCTCCAGGCTCTTTCTACTCCACATATATCCAACTTAAGCTGTTTACATTGAGATTTCTTTTATGGGCTTCCTTTCAGGAACTTTGGTTTATGCAATTCTATAATAATAAATGACACATAATAAAAATTTTTAAAAATCCACTCAATAAAAATGTTTTTCTCAAAGGAGATTAAGAATTAAATGTCCAGAACTATAGGAAAGCAGATTATAAAGTGACATTCAGTGTGCAGTAAACCAGGACATCGCCAAATGTAAATTTGTAAAATCCATTAAATACAAATCAAGTACAAGAAAATATCTTTTAAAGGTACCAGTGCCATGGAATTGTAGTGTTAGTTTTAAAAGATGTTCACATAGTTTTCAGAAATACTGAATGTTCATAAATTTTTTTCAATTTTTTATGTCTTTATTGATTTTAGAGGAAAGGAGACAGACAGAAACATCAATGATGTCATTAATCGGCTGCCTCCTGCACACCCCCTGCTGGGAATGGAGCCCGCAACCCAGGCCTGTGCGCTGACAGGGGATCGAACCACTACCTCCTGGACCCTAGGCCGATGCTCAACTGCTGAGCCAGGCCGGCCGGGCTGAATGTTTATGAATTTTAAATACCACTGTATGATAACCGTGTGCCAGTGATTTACAAGTGATTTCGTCCTTACAGTGAACACATAAGGTTACCACCCCACTTTATAAGCACGAAAATAAGATTCCGGAAGATCAAAGAGTGAGGAAGAGCTGGTATTCAAGTCCAAACATGACTCCACAGCAAAATGAGTATCTAATACAAACAGAGTTTACTCAATGCCAAAATTTCAGTTTCTTTTCATCAGGCAATAAAAATAAAACTAAGGAAGCATTTGTTGTGGTCACTGACATTAATACTGTACAATTTCAAAATCATAGTTTGCTTTGAAAATATATTTTGTACCCCTGCTATGAAGTGTTGAGATTAAACTACATCATACACAACCATATAAAAAGTGATAAAAATGGTAAAGAAAGTGGTGTGGAGTAGGTGGCATATATACTTGGTAATACTTTGTTTTCTTTTGAAGGTTTTACTCAGGATAAAAAATACTAACGTGCCATTTGGGAAAAATCCTTTTCGAATCCTATCAGGAATACAGAAGCTTAAAAGAAAAAGTAGGCTTCACTTTTATTTTATTGGTATTTTTTTAACCCTCACCCAATGATATTTTTTCCATTGCTTTTCAGAGAGAGAGAGAGAGAGAGAAAGAGACATCGATGTGAGAGACACACATCAATTGGTTGCCTCCTGCACGCACCTCAAACAGGGCTGAGCCTGCAGCCGATGCATGTGCGCTTGGCAAGAATCGAACCCAGGACGCTTTAGTCCATGGACAGACACTCTTACCACTGAGCCAAGCCAGCTAGGGGGAAAAAGCAGGCCTTAAAAAGGAACCAGCCACCCGCCACCACGTGAACGAACCTTGAGGGCACTGTGCTGAGTGCGCCTGTCACAGGCACCTGAGGCACCTGGAGTATCCAACTCACAAGAAGAGCAGTGGAGGCTGTC